CTGGTAGGGCTGTGCGGCTGACTTGGGGTCAATCCGTCTTCAGACTCCAGTGTGTGGGAAGATCTTTGCCAGCATGAGAGCGTCGATGTCGGGTCTCAAGGGGAGCTGGGAGGGAACCGGTGTGGAGATAGTGTCAGTGATAATGTAAGGCTCTGTAGCTTCCACTTAGGGCTGGTTACTATCTCACCAGGTGACATCTCAAGACCGTGTACGGTACACTTTCGAGGCGGTCCGGGAATTCAATGATCGTCATGGCATCATACAGAGGAGGTCAAACAGCGCAAGGCTCCATGACGAATGCATCAGGCCGATGCTAGTAGCTGGCCGCCCTCCGCTTGGGGGCACCACAGGGCGGACCCAACTCACACACTTCCACAATAGTTGTAGTAGTACCCAGCTCCGAGGTGGACGACAGTCTGAAGTGATCAGGTTCGGTCCCTCCGAGACGGGAGTCTACAGATCAACACCCTCCCTGTTCTAGGGCTTACTATGGTGTAGCTGCTTTCAAGGTAGTTGGTCAGTACCCCTCAGCTTGAGCCTCGTGAGTTGATGTCTCGCAGCTGGACCCTGGCCCTTATGATGATAAGAGGGCCTGGAGATCAGTGGGTGAGGACCTCAGACCTGATGATCGCCTATCAACGATGACAAGTACAGACCGAAGGGCTACTTGGGATACTGTCACGCTGCCCAGGAGGGCCCAACGGCAATATGAGGTAGAGGTTGGGCTTTCATCTATGTCTTTAGAGCCTGTGATGGCCACTGTAGCGTAGTAGGCCTGCGACGAACTCGAGGTGTTGTTTGAAGGTGGAGGAGTGCTCTCAGGATCGTTGCCGCGACCATATCTGCGGCCGGGCCGCGTTCCTGGGCCCATACGGAGCTTCCTCGTCCGACTCTTGCTCTCGAGAGGACTCTCCTGCCCGTCGTGGTCCTCACGGCCCTCGACTCTGCAATGGCCAGGTGAGGATCTCGGAGCTAAGGTATGGTGATGAAGAGGTCTGTAGGTCCGTCCTCAGCCTCTGGCACTGGCCATCTCCCAGATAGATACCCTGCCAGCAGAGGCTACCATAAGGTACAGTGAGTGGCTCTTTCGGAGCGATAGTAGGATGGTTGTTCAGGCAACAGGAACGGCAGTATGATAGGGAGTTGAGGCATGCAGGGCTAGGACCAGGCTTCAAGCCATATATGCCCAAGGCCATGGGACCTCCTACTAAGTACCATAACATGGCAACACGAGAGTAAGGATGAAGGAGGGTTGCTGCTGTTGTCATCGAGGACAACCTTCTCCTCAGTCTTGGGGTTGATACTATCATACATGATAATCCGCCTGTAGAGGATGATCCAGCTAGTGAGTCGGAGCCTTTCAGGACCTTTGCTAGGCCCTTGGATGCCAGCGGTAAGCTGCCTTGTAGTAGTTTGTATCATACCACTCCATCCTCAACAGATATGGACCGTCGTATCCCCGTGGGCCCTCTACCTTGTTGTCAGACGCTTCAACGTCGTGCTGTTCGTAGTAGTAGTAGCAGTACCATGCTGTCGTGTGTGAAGTAAA